ATTTTAATATCTGTGAAGGTAAAGAAGGAAATCTTCAAATACTGTAAAGAATATGAAATACAGTACCTGTTGCAAAATACTTTATTTCTGTCACTTTTTTTTGAAAGACTATTTCCTGTTCTCTCTTTCTCAAATATCTCCATTTATTCTTCTTTTCTTTCCACGAGAGGCAACTAATGAACAAATTAATACAATGTAATTATTTAAAATTGCTCTTACAGATACTGCTTCTTGATGGGAAACGAAGTATGAATGTAAACATCTTTCTGAAGCAGTTTAAGTGCAGCCACATGGAAATTGTATCAATGATAGAGAGGGGTGATGTAGAAATTATCGGCAAAGAGCGTCTACTGGGGTTACAGAAAATACTCCCAAAGGAAGAAGAGGTAAAGTGATTTAAACAAATGTAATATATATGAAGATAACGAACAGTATTTTACCTCACGTTCCATAAATGAATACAAAATAGGAACAGAGCAAACACGGTCCTCCGAAACATCAGAGGTGGGATTAGGCGCCATAGTGGAGTGAATCACTGTCGACGGGTCACAGCCACCGTGTGCTCCTTGTCATGATTGGGAAATAACCAAAAAAAAATTGTAGACAATTCAATGTGTAATAATGAACTAACAATAAGCATGAAAAACGTCAGTCAGCAATCTACTTAATTTTAAATTGTATTTGCTGACAAGGTCATTGTATCGATCATGGAACTTGCTAAATGGTGACTTTAAATAAGATTGCTGATATTCGTGTTTCTTAAACTTTATCAATAATATATCTCTTATTAAAATTGTACAGTCTTGCTGAACATTATATAGAGAGTCCAAGACAAAGATCTGAAACTTCGTCCTGGACTGTAAAAGAACAACTATAATAAATGCGAAAATTTTTGAGTGCACTCATAGAAAATGCTGAAGTTGTTTGCCTTGATATTACAAAATAAAGCCTCAAGCTCTTAAATAAGTAAATATATCTTTTAAGTAGAATTTCTTCTTTAAGGTTAGTATGCTTGAAGAATTCGAGGGAGATAAAGAGAAACTTGGGAATGCAGAGAAATTCTATTTAAAATTGATCAAGCTACCTGCCTACAGAATTCGAATCGACGGACTTGTTCTAAAGGACGAGTTTGGAGACACAATGGCTAATCTTTTACCAAATGTCAGTGCCGTGATTGAAACATGCAAATGTCTTCTGGAAAACGAGTCTCTCAAAGTGTTTCTACGCTATGTTCTACATACTGGAAATTTCATGAATGCGGTAAGGTATTTTCTTGACAAGTATATATTGATCATCTAAGAAAAGGATAAATGATTTAGATTAAATGCTTAATAACTTCTTGCTTTTTGTTTTGTCCCAGTTTAATAATAGATGCGGTTGAATGACTTCAGTTAAATACTGATTTTTAACCATTGCAAGTTTCTTAATAAAACATTTTGAGAAAATTGAAAGATATATTAGTAATTAATTTTACATATGTGTACATAATATTTCATCCAAAAATTCACTAGGGTGGGTATGCAGGCAACGCGATGGGTTTCCGGATAAATTCCTTAAATAAATTGATGGATACAAGATCCAAGAAGCCAAGTGTAACTCTTTTGCATTTTCTCGTTGAGGAGGCCGAAAAAGTGGACACGGCAGCTCTAGCTTTTGTTGAGGAGATGACTCCATGTTTAACTGTTGCATCAAAGTATGTCAAACTAACCATATGAGGTTTCATTTAATGGCATTTATCTAAAATCTAAATACATAATAAACCGGTAAAAAATTTCATATATTGCTTAAATTGCACGAAGAACTGAATGAAGAAATGAAGGGAAAATAATGTTCGCTTATCCAAAGCATATATTTTAACATCATATTAGCATATCAATATGTCTCTGTGGTGATCATCAATAAACATTAATCTTTTAAGTTAAAAACATAATTTGCATTCAGACTTTTTAGTATTTTTTTTAATTCAAGTTTGACTGTGGACTCATTGGCAGCGGAGATTAAAGAAGTAAAAGATAAAGTTAAGAGTCTGAAAAAAGGCCTGAAAAAGAGTCCCAGTGACGTCAATGATCAACTTAAAACATTTGTACAGGCAAGCAAAAAAGTTTTTTTTTAATTCGAACTACGTTTTGCTGTTAAACATTAGCCTGGTGTTCTTTAAACGAAGTGATTAATAATGTTGATAATATATACAGGCAGCAGAAAAGGAAATGGCGTCATTGGATGAGAGTTTAGAGAAAATAACAGAACTGACGAAGAAAATTGTTTGTTACTTCTGTGAAAAAGAGAAAAGTTTTAAATTAGACGAGTGCATTCACGACATGAATTCATTCTGTGATAATATTAAACGGTGTCAAAAGGTAAGCTATCCATTCTTTTACAATCAAACTGATTACAAAATTCTTATCTTTTCTACATACATTTTTATACATTTTTCAATAGGAAAATTTACAGAGAAAACATCGAGAAGAAAAAGCAGAGCGCAGGAAAAAGCGGGAACAGGGAATGACAAAGAAACATGCAGAGCGTATGTTAAAATAAACTTCATTATTAATCAAAAAGGGTTTGATGATTTTATTTAAAATAAAAGTATAGGTGGTGCTTTGTTTCTCTTTTTAGATACTTCAGCAAAGAAAGAGTCAGTGGAGGAAGATTGTATTATAGATCGATTACTAAAGGATATTCGAAATGGACACAAGCTACGACATACAAGACAATAGACATTGTAAAAAAAAAGAAAAAAATCTTCTTTCAGTCAAAACCTTTTGAAATTAAATCATACATACATTTGACAATGTCTGATTGACAATATCTTTGTGTTTAGGGACCAGTTCTTAAAACATTCTATTTGGATTCTCATGAGACATTGTTTTTGACTTTTTGACAATGTTTATTAATAACTCTATTCCGTGGCGATTAACATACTGCGTTTTAAATTGGCTAACACGAGTTTCATTCAAATGGGATGAAACTTCATACATAGATAAAATAAACACTAAGTCTTTTACATTTAAATATGCTTTGATCTTAATTTTTTGTAAAAAAAAATATGGTTTGGAGATTCACTGTGCACTGTTTTAATTTTTGAAGGAGAGATCGGTGAAATGATGCCAGGTAGGACTATCAATGAATAAATTGAAGAAAATCTTCGAAATCAATGCAATAATCTTGCCGAAATCTGTTTTTATTTTCTCAATTAATAATCATATTGATCTTCCAAAAAAAATCTGGTCAGCAACCTTGCTTGTTAATGCTTTCAATCTTGTTTTGAAAAATTCTGTCAAGCTAGCCATGTCGTTCTGTTTAAAATAGGTGCGTGTTTATTTCAAATACATGAAAATTATAAAAAGTGTTTTCTTCTGTAGTGATGAAGTAAGATAAAACCAGGTAAATCAAATCTTAGTATATCTTTAAACCGTAGGGTGAATAAGAGGCCCACATCACCCATCTGAGCACATTTTATAAGAATGAATCAAAATTCAGTTCAGTATTGAAGAGTTTTCAAGGAATGGGGTTTTGAATTACCTGATGATGCTTCCACATCAATGGCCTTGCTGTTCTTAAGCAGTAGATGTTTTTCCTATTTACCACGTATTCATTTGCTCAAGGGGCCTCGTTTGAACCAGTTTGATTGGTTTGAACATATCTTTTTGTAATTTAAATACTATACAAATGGTTGATCACAAGTTGCAGGGGCGGATACAGGATTTGTGGTTAGGGGGGGCGTGGATAACTTTGTTGAGGCAAGGGGTCTGGGGGCCGCCTTAAGGCCCCCAGTGGGTCCAGGGCGAAGCCCTGGTGGGGGCCCGGGGGGCGAAGGCCCCGGAAGCTCCTGGGTTTTCGTGTATTTTAGAGTAAAACCAGGCACAATAATAGTGCATATTTTTCAATTATTTTTGTAAAATTGGCATATTATAGGTTCGGATGTTTGAATAATAATTGTATTGAATGCCTTTCAATTCTCATTGTAGTGTAACACATACCACTATAAAAAACGATTTACTTACTTATTACTTACTAATAGTGGTATTTGTTAGTGATGTACCAATGTTTAATACTAGTCATATCATACTTTGAATGGTGGGGGCCCAGGGGGCGCAGCCCCCGGAAGCTCATGGATTTTTGTGTATTTTAAGAGTAAAACCAGGCAGAATAACAGTGGTTTGGTTAGTTTTGTACCAAAATATGACATACTAAATATTAGTCACATCATACTTTGAAAATTTTAGGGGGGGGGGGCGCGCGCCGGGTGCGCCCCCCCCTTAAATCCGCCAGTGAGTTCTAACAGCTTACGAGGTTCTCACCATAAAAACTTACAACTGGTTATGTCTATACATAGGAAGAAAAAGGAAAGAAAATATTGATATACACACATATTTGTTTTAAAAAGAAAACATACATTTGTTACACATGATAAATATATAACTATATGTATCTGTGTAAGTGTTTGGCTGTAATAATTAATAAAATCTACCAGAATCTCTTATAAATGTTTAGCTGAACAAAAAATATACAGTGGACCTTCAGATATCCGGACGCCAGATATCCGGATGCTTCAGTATCCGGACGATTTTTCATCGGAACGAAATTTTAAAATATTATTCTGTCTTGCTTAACTGGTGATTCAGATATCCGGATGCTTCACATATCCGGACAAATTGACTGGGAACCAAAGCGTCCGGATAAATGAGGGTCCACTGTATACATTTTGATTTCTACATTTTGTGACAATCAATAACAAGAGATTGCTTAATAGTTTCTTTCTAGCATGTTGGTACTTATTGCAAACGAAGAAAAAATGATATGATATGATATGGATTTCCTGGTGAATCACATGAACGATTTGGACTCTCGATAATGTTTCTTTAATGAAGATCATAATTTGAAATGCAATTATGTCGTAGTTTAGTTTGAATGATGTTGAGTCGTCTATTACCGTGGGAGAAAGAAGAAGGAGGGTCTGCTGGTTTTTTTATGTATGTTGTTTTTAAAGCTACTAAAGATAAGCTGTTTCTTACTCAAACTATTTCTTTGGTTTATTGTATCAGGAACAAAAGATTTTTTAAATAATTCAAGTCTACATCTAGGAATAGTATAGTCCTCTCTATTGCGTGTGGCGTTCTCTGATTCATTACTTCTTTTTGAAGGAGTCCAGTGGGGATACGGGTTAGAATCGGTCCTCAATATCCCCTTGCTTGTCGTAAAAGGCGACTAAATGGGGCGGTCCTTCGGATGAGACCGTATAAACTGAGGCCCCGTGTCACAGGAGGTGTGGCACGATAAAGATCCCTCCCTGCTCAAAGGCCGTAAGTGCCGAGCATAGGCTTAAATTTGCAGCCCTTCACCGGCAATGGTGACGTCTCCATATCAGTGAAATATTCTGGAGAGGGACGTTAAACAGTATACAGTCAGACAGTCTTTTTGAAGGAAAAATACTTTTTAAATAATTGGGTACCAGGTTGTGATGTACTTTAAACATAGAATTAAGTTTTACTACTTTTCGCCTATTTGCAAGAGGTTCCCATCCTGTTTCTAAATATAATGCATCCCTTGAAGCGATGACTGATAATCCTGTAATTATTCTCGCAGCATAAAGCTGCACCTTTTCTAATTTTTAACATATTGTAAAGAACACCCATCCCAAACTATTGAGCAATATTCAAGTAATGGTCTAATAAAAGTTATGTACATTGTAGACAGAGTGTTTCTACAAATTTTGTATTTTAGGTTTTTTTAGGAGACCTAATCTTTGGTAAGCCTGTTTAACTATATTGTCTATATCATCAGACCAATTCAGATTATGGCTCAAAAGTAATCCAAGATGCTTATGAGAGGTTAAGAATTCTATTTTACATCGTTAAAATTGTAATTTGGGAAGATAATTATTGGATTTTAGATAATAATTGGATTTTAATAGTTTGATTTGGCACTACCTTAGGTGCCTCCATAGCATGGCTTTTCCATTTTTTAAGATAAAGATTCGTTCTTAATTATGTATATTCCAATGAAAAATTTTTGACCCACCATTGTCCCCCACCTTACAGCCCAGGATCATGAATTGAATGAACTTTAATCAATGCTTCGTGAGGATGCTCCCATTAAAATATGACCAATCATAACTTTGCTGTTCTTAAAAAGAAGACTTTTAAAGAATTTTCCTATGTGTTCCTATATGTTTCTCAAACTGATCACCAAATGGGGCCCCATCCTACATAATTGAAACAATTTTGAATTTACACAAACTTGAATGCTTCTAGGCTGGGTATTAGCAAGAGATTTTGTTTAGCGATATATTGCGATATTTTTAACTTTATTGCGATATGCATTGCAATATTTTCAATGACAATAACGATGGCATTTTTTAATTATATAATGTTCAGTGCAGCTTTAATTTACATGCAGAGTGTACATAACCTCGAAAAAAACCAAAAGTAGAAAAATCTTGATGTTTTTATTAAAGTTGTTTTGAAATAAACCGATATAAATCGATTTTTTTGCCCAGCCCTTGATCAGATGTTCCCATATAAATATGAACAACCATGGCTTTGTTGTTCTAGATTTGAACAAACTGGACTTTACAGTACCTGAGGATTCTTCCAAATAAATATAACTAATCATGTATGTAAAAAGTCATATTGTGAAACAAATTTCATTGCGTCTGTTTTGGTAGGTGCTTTGCTCGTTGGATTGAAGCCATATTTCATAAATAATGAAATGACACAGAGATAGCTAACCTAACCCTTTCAGGCTTAATTTTCGTGCTTGTTGCAGACAATACAAAGCTTAGTGTTAATAAGTAAATTGAAGGTCAAGAAGTCTTTTATCTGCATTTGAAAAAAAAAAACCGTGGATTGTATTTTCTTCATTGAAACTTGGCTTTTATCACTTTAAACAACATTTGTATTTAATTACCTTTAATACTGAATTACCCGTAGACTTCTCTGCAAATTGAATCAAAAATAATTTAAATGTTCGATATTATATGTAAATCATTTTCTTAATTCAAAAAATTTATAAATTTCAAATTATTTTTGTTGATTATTTATAACCTAAAAGTGAACTTTTTCTTTATTCGACTCTTGTTATAAATCATTTCTTTCATTATCATATAGGCTAAATGATTTATTTGAATAATATATATGCAATTTTAAATAAATCGAAATTATATTGCTTTTATAAATGAGAAGTGTGATTTTAATTTCATAAATAACTCTACACATATACGTGCATTTTCCAGTATTAAATATCAATGATTTCATTTTACAATTTTTATATTTTAACTGATACATGTAATTTACTGATGTTTTTACACCTTTGCTCCAAAGGAGGTGGGGGTATACTGTTTTACCCTTGTGTGACTGTTTGTCCGTCCGTCCGTCTGTGCGTAACAAATTTTCGTCGCACATTTCTTAGCAACTACTTATTGCAGACGCTTGAACTTTTAAAATCTTCTCTAAAGTATGCCAAATGGTGGGATTTATTTTTGTTTAAATCAAAAATAAACTTCCTGTTTACCCGTGGATCTGTCTGTTTCATATATACATAACAAATTTTGTTAAAGTTTTCTCAGCTCATCGCAAATGCTTGAATTTAAACACGATCTTATCTGAGGCATGCCATACAGTTGGACTCATTTTTCTTCAAATCTGATGTCAACTTCCCGTTTGTCTGTGCATCTGTCTGTTTCATACGTACATGTAACAAATGTTTTGTCAAATTTTTCTCAGTAACTATTCATCGCAGATGCTTGAAATATTAGTACATTCTTTGTAGAGGCATGTCATATGAAGCGATTTATTTTTATTCATTTCTGATGTCAACCTCGTTTTTATACATGCGTCTGTCCGTACCATACAAAACAATAATTTTTGTCGCAGCAACTACTCATCACATATGCTTGAAATTATTGTATGTAAGGCGCTTGAACATGGATTTGAATTAAATATTTAGATCAAAGAAAGTGGGCGCTTAAGATGGCAATTCGGCAGGAAAAGTGACTC